GTTCAGGGAGAAAATGGCAGTACTTAGGACTATGGTGGTAGCAATAGAACTGGAGCCCTGTGAAGATACAGGATATACTTTGGAAGTTAAGTTGCTAGGGACTTATAAAATGATGGTATAGGAGAGATAAGACCAAAACAATGGTAAAACTTAGATTCTTGGTTCATGCAGTCAGGCATGCTGTTTATGAAAATGAGAAAGATTGGATGATCCATACACTTGGGTAGAGTGGAAATAGAGGTTCCTTGGAGCCATTTGAAGTTTATGATACCTTTTAGATATATTAGATCTAAACATTTTAGTAAGCAGCTAAATATTCAAGTTTGGAGTTCAGGGGAGAGATTGGAATTATTTATATTCAGTTGTCATAATGTAACTGTTTCAGAAGAAAATGCAAAGTGAAAGGGTATAGAAAATTCTAGATTTTTGCTCTTTTTAAAAATCAATTTCATATTTTTCAATCTTGGACATAAGTTGGTTTCTCTTGGGCAAGAGACTCCTTCATAAAACAAGATTTTAAGAATGTTGTTGCATATTTTTCAGCTCCAACATTTTATATCTATATATGAGTCCCACTTATAAATTGCTGTTTTACATCAAGAAACATTTCTTTTACAAACCTTTAAAGAATTTTGCACTTGGAAAAAGATCATTTTGCCATTCGTCTTTATTAGCAAGTGATCACACCATTATTCATTTTGGCTGTTTTTTTCCTCCTGTTTCCTGTACTCCATCAGATGTAGAGGTGAAGTCAAAGAAATTCACTGAAATAAGAGGCATTTCTGTATTGCATTGAAAAATGTTATAAACAGTGTCATCTATGTATCTGTGTCAGTGAGGTCATAAATATTGACTAAATTTAACTGATGGACTAAATGAGGTTATTTTTGGGTACTTCACTGACCCCAGAAATACATTAACAGGTCGGATTTCAGAAAGTGTTCTATTAAAATGTATATATATGTTCTGTAAACACTCAAGGTTTTGTCTTTACTATCTGTGGGAAATTTTACTCTATTAATTTCATATTGTTTGTCTGGTGTTTGGATGCAGCAGTGACGACAAGCTATTGCTTTCCAGGATGCTGTAATTTTCATCTTGTTCCCCTGAATTACCTTTCCTGATTTCTATTAATATCTTGTTTAAATTGCCACTGGATTTTGTATGTGCACAGTAATTATTGGCCTTTACAAGAGAGATTTTGGTCAAATGGTGTAGATAAAAAACCTAGTTGGCATAGATTCCAAAGAAAATGGGAACAGATAAATAACAAGGGAGATAAAGAGTTTTATTGTGAAGGGGATATACTTAGGAACAGGGTGGTTGTGAATGGAAAGTTTTCCTTTAAGATGGATGATGTTACTGAAAATTTACAAATAAAAATACCCAGCAGTGAGGGGAAATGTATGGTGGAGGACAGAGTGAAAGCAGATTGGATTGAGACATAAGCTGAGGGCTTGACTGAAGTAAGAGTGCAGAATGTTTTTCATTGTAGCAGCAGGAAAGGTGGATGGCAGCGAGGTGAGTGTGGTGATAGCTGGGTTCCAGGCTTCTCTTCTGACGCTTCTGTTCTTTCATGAAATAAGAAACAAAGGTATCATCAAGGAGAGAAAAAATGTTAGGGATGGCAGTGTTTGAAAAGAGAGAACGTAACCTGAAATAGTCATTGAAGAAGTGAGAGTGAGTGAACTATAGAGACAGAGGACTACTGAGGGCCTTACAGAGGAGTATGATCATGAACCTAAAGAGAAACACTCAGCATGATTGTACTTTCCCCTCGCTTTTTCAGTTGCTTGCATTTGGCAGAGTGTATAGTGTTAACCTAATTAGAATACTTAGTCTTCCAGTGAGATCCATACCAAAGATGGCAAAGGAGTTGAGTTGAAGATAATGTAAGTGGAAGTCAGCAAATGAGAGGAACCAGAGCAGTGAGACTGGGACCTAGAGTTAAGGAGTGGCTGGGGTCAGAATATTATAAGAATGAGCCAGATCTTGAGGAATGGTGCTTGAAATAGAGATTTGGGGAGTGTTCCATTACTGATAAAGAGGTCTCAGTAGTATGATCACACTGCCAGGTGCTGAGGTTGAGTGGAAGACAAGACCATTGGTGGTAAGGGAGGTTAAGGGTCTAAGAGGCCATGTTGGAACTGGAAAGAGAAAAGTCTTGTTACTCAGGTAGCAGGTGATGTGTATAGCTTCCTCTTGGTTACTGACTACTGCCAGTAATGTCAAACATCCAGAAGCTGAGGTTCAGAAATCACTCTCCAGGAATAGGGACTTGTTGAGGTGGCATTTCATGAGGGCTGGCTATATGCTCTCTGTACAATCTTCTATGAGTAGACTTCAGTTTCAGTTCCATGACCATGTACCCCTTAAGTTTTTTCTGTTGTCTTTAGGAAGCTGTGTTTGGCAAGATTGTTTGAACACCTCTATGAGGTGTCTGCTTAATTAAGTAAATTTCTTTGAAGAATGAGTGATTGTTTGTCACCCAGTGTCCTTGTCCCTGTAGTTCCTGCTCAAACTAAGACTTTTAAATTTTTGTTCATTTCCTATGGTCTTGATGTTCTTTCTCTAAAATCCAATCACATGGAATCTTACAATTTTGTCATCCAAATTCTGAACTATTACATTGTCTCTGTTCTCCAGTCTCTCAGCAGTTTGCAAACAATTATGTATACAAGACAGGAATTGCTGATTAGTGTTCAGATTTGGGACAATAGTACAAAAAATAGTTTCCTAAAATGTTCTTAAAGACATTTGAAACATGATAGGAGGAATATTCTTCTTATGCTAACTGTCCAAGGACAGTAGGAATTAGACTGTCAGAAAAAAGGAAATTAATACTCAAATTTGCTTTCTTCATTTTGAAATGAGTTTTAATTGGCATGTATTCTCTTAGCTTGATCATGTCTGACTTAGGTTTGGAGATATTTAGATCTCATTATATTGCTTATCCTCAATTATATTTTATTTCTGTAGAGTCTTACTCTTTTAAATGTAGTATAAATTCTCCACACAATTGGCATGTATTCTCTTAGCTCGATCATGTCTGACTTAGGTTTGGAGACATTTAGATCTCATTATGTTGCTTATCCTCAATTACATTTTATTTCTGTAGAGTCTTACTCTTTTAAATTTAGTATAAATTCTCCAATGTCATCTTTTCAACATTTTCTTCAAGTCCTCACACCCCAGTAGACTTTTAGTTGCATGAAGGCGCTGGTGTTCTTGTCCAGTCCAGGGTCCCCTCACACTTTTTCTTCTGCCAAAAATGTTTCCAATTGTTATTTCCACCCGTACCTCCCAACCCTCACACAGATGTAGCTGGCTCGTTTCATCCATCATCCTTCATTCCTCAACTTAAACATAATATCTCCTCAATGAAACTCCTTTCACCATTCCCCACTCCCTCTTCAGTGACAACCACTATATGCTCTTATTACACCCTGTGTTTCTTTTTTTTCTCTCTCTCTCTCTCCCTCCCCCTCATTTATCTTTCCCTTTCCCTTGTGGTACTAGGTTTTGAACTCTTAAGCCACACTCCTAGCCCTATGTGTCTTTTTTTAAAGCATTTGTCTAATATCAAAATAATTTTCATTTGTGAAAAATAAAAAGAAATGCATTTATCCATTTAATGTTTTCCTAGCACACTGAACTCCAAGCTCCATGAAAGTGAGATAATGGCCATTTTTGTAATCCTTAGCAAGGTGTCTTGAATATAGTTGGTACTCAATAGATAATTGTCAAACAAATATACAAAAAATCCCAATATACATACATGCCGTGAACTGAAAGGGATCTGTTAGTGTGTTCAGGGCTATTTGAGATTGTGTAGAACAGAGGAAATCTGTAAGCCAAAAGAGGTTGCCTTTAAAGTTTAAATACTTCTATATTTAGTCCTTAAAACATGTGTTTAGTTTTTAAAATCTAGTCATGTGTGAGTGGGAGGAAAATTTAAATTTTACATAGAAAAATCTATTCAAGTTTTAGTGGTGGTGTTGTAAGTGTGCTACTAGTTAAAATAATTAGCATGTTGTTTACACAGGCATTAACTTAGCAGAAACTCCAACCACCCTTGAAAACACAGTTTGCAATCTACAGATGATCAGTCAGTAGGACCACTGTGAAATAAAACAGAAATCATCTTGAGACTCTTACTCAAGATGATTTTATGGTGTAGCATTTTGCTATTGTTTAAGTTAGGTATATTATCAGTTTTCTTTTTAAATCATTGAACACTAATCCATATGTTTCTGAAAATTAAATATAATTTGATTTATAAAATAATTAAATTCTCAATAATAATTTTCAAAGTAAAAAATAATTCCTTATTTCTCTCATAAAACATTTTAATGTTGTCAAAGTTTTAAAAATTAGGCATCTTTTAAAGTTCAGAATTTCAAAAAATTTTTTTCTGTGTTTTATAAGTATATCCTTGAAGGTGCCTTATCATTTGACTGTAATTTAATTATATACATTTTGGAAAATTAGATAATCATAAAAGACTAGTAGCATTTGTGTTTGGGCCTTTTATAGCTGTTAACATTCATCCAAAAAATAAAAAAATTGAGGAAGTTTTACAATACCCCCTGTCCTCTTGAGAAAAGTATTATTCCCAGGTTTATTTGTATTGAGTTGACTAGGTAAAACCTATCCTTGTGAAAGTTTTATGGCTTCCATGGACACAGTTTATTTACCTTTTTTTCTACTTTTCCCACCATTTTCTAAGTGTGTTGGAGAGTAATACATTTAAGAAAACAAAGAAGCAAGCAAAAAAAATCAAAGACCTCATTGCTTGTTTACCACACCAATACAATATGGAAATGATGGGACTGCTTCAGACTTGGTCTGAGTGTGGAAGTTGTTGTTTACAAGTTTATTCTGATATCAGTGGATAGAAATCAGAGTGCCGACTTAGTTATTAGAAATCGAAGTATGACTTGCTTTGCTATTACCATCAAGAACTATTGACTTTTGAACCCCTGAACACTCTCTTCTAGCTGCTTTCGAAATCTATTGAACAACTGAAGCAACCAGACAGTCACCTTGAGGAAGCAGAGGAAGAGCTTCAGGGGGACCAGGCGATGCAGGAAGACAGAGCGCCCTCTAGTGACAACAGTACTAGGAGCGACAGCAGTGCTTGTGTGGATGACACACTGGGACAAGTTGGGGCTGTGAAGGTCAAGGAGGAACCAGTGGACAGTGATGAAGATACTCAGATCCAGGAAATGGAATCTGGGGAGCAGGCTGCTTTTATGCAACAGGTAATAGGCAAAGATTTAGCTCCAGGATTTGTAATTAAAGTCATTATCTGAACATGAAATGCATTGCAGGTTTTGGTAAATGGTTATTTCCTATCAGTTGATATCTTTGGATGATTTGATTTTAGTGTTTAAGGATTCTAATTAATATAGGTAAATGTATGTATCTATTTGGAGATCTCTCAATATTGATCTCTAATTAGATATCAAGGTTTTATTGAAACTCCACTGGTAAGAAAATACCTGTTACACTAAAATTATTCTGTCTAATATCCAAGTAAATAACAGGCTTTAAATTCATCTCAAAGCCTGCTTCAAAAACTTACTTCTAAGGAAAACCAACTCACTGTTAGTTTTCGTTTATCTGCTGAGATTGAAGACTGCTGGATATAGTCTCACAGTCTAATCAATGAAGCGTTCACTTAGGCTTTGGTTTCTTTGAAAATGTAGAATTCAATTTTGACATCACTGTACATAGTGTATCATACTACAGTCTTAAACACTGTTAAAGGTAGTTTGCCCTTTCTTCTGTTTTGTTAAATAGAAATGTTCTGGTTACCATACCAGACCTAGGTAGACCTAGGTTATTGTGTAGATTGCAATTGAAAATACTAGGAATACAGGTGGTCTTAAATATATAGATGCAAATTGAGTACTATTTTAAATGTTATGTTCTGTATCACACAGCACTGCACATTTTACTTTTAACCTTTATAATTTGATGGCATTGTCTATTGAAAAAGATCAAATGAAGCAGACGCAAATGTTGGTGAGAAGTAATGTGCAGCATTGTGGTCCAATCAGATACTATAACGTATCTACGGTTGCAGAAAGCACAGTGACAGTATGTTTATCACCTGACATTAAGATAAAATGAGTTTTACAAGGTGTATCATGTTTTATAATCATTATCATTAGACTCTTTTAGATATAACTCCACAGCATATACCATATCATTTTGGCAAATAAAAATATGAAAGTTGGATGTAACAAAAGAGTTTACTTGTACATAATGCACCTTCAGAAGGACTATGTCCTTGATACTATAAAATACAAATGACTTTGAAGGCAACAGAAGACAATGTTTTTTTAAGTCAGTTATTTGTCAGGTTCCTGCTGTTCTCCTACAGAAAAGTGATTCTGTGAAGCTGAACAGGAAATGCCTTGTGGAAACAGGAAGTCCAAGTGATTCATGTACTGAGGAATGTAGGAAAAAAAATTGAGGATAGTGTTTTTACTCTTTCTGTTTTTAAAGGGCACTCTATGAATTGATTTATTGTCTAAGAAAATAACACCACAAGTAGGGAAATTGTTACGGAAGCTTTTCACTGGAACATTTCCTTCATATTCCCTTTTGATATGTTTACCTTGTTTTATAGGTTTACTTTTGTTAAGCTAGTTAAAGGCTCGCTGTATTAAGACCCCTTTAATATGGATAATCCAAATTGACCTAGAATATTTGTGAGGTTTTTTCTATTAAAATATTTATATTTCTAAATCTGAAGTAGTTTAAGGTGTAGTATCCTGTTTCAAAGGAGATATAGCAGTTTTGCCAAATGTAGACATTGTTCGACTGTATGTTACTGGCACGTGTTGTTTACATTTTGCTGTGACATTTAAAAATATTTCTTTAAAAATGTTACTGCTAAAGATACATTATCCTTTTTTAAAAAGTCTCCATCCAAATCAAATTAACATAATTAAAAGCTAGAAACTTTAAAACCTTTCCATATAATGAAAAGTCCTTATGATAATTTGACAAATAGCTATAATAGGCAACACTCCCCATCACCAGCATATTTTGGTTAGTATATTCCTTCATATTTAAATGACTTTTTGTCAGTTGTTTTGCATTAAAAATATGGCATGCCTAAGATAAAATTGTATTTTTTTCCATCTCATAAATATTCATTTCCTTCAAAGTCTTTTTTCAATCTCATAAAAAAGGGATAGTGCATCTTTTAAAATACATTTTATTTGGGGAGGAACATGCGGCTGAGCAGACTTTTGTATAATATTACTTCAAAGATATGTAATCACAAACAAAAAACTATTTTTTATAATGTCATTTGAGAGAGCTTCATCAGTACAGTTGGTGGACGTTAATTGTTTGAATTTGATAGTCTTTGAATTTAATCAAGAAACTACCTGGAACCAGTGAAAAGGAAAGCTGGACTTAAATAATCTTAGAACTAATTGATAAATGTCTCTTTTAAAATCTACTGTATTTATTATAATTTACACCCTTGGAGGTGATCTATTGTTTTGTGTTGTAAATATATTGTTTGTATGTTTCCCTTCTTGCCTTCTGTTATAAGTCTCTTCCTTTCTCAAATAAAGTTTTTTTTAAAAGATCCCTTTTTCATACATTTGGCTTTGTGTAAATTTGATATATTTAATCGAATTTCAAACTTGTACACTAGATCACATATACAAAAATATATTGCCACTTTTTGTTGAAATAAGATAATAAAGATATTTTGAACAGTTACTTCTAATAGCATTAAAATAATACATTCAACAATAATGACTTTAAACTATTTTCATCAGCCATTATCTAATGGAAACATATGTAAAATTTGTTGCATTTTTCCAGCGTGATCTTTTTCTTGATATGATAATATCTTTGGTATTTAAATTAAATGTCATATTCTAAATATAAAATTTTATATAAATAGACTTCAGTTCCTAACTCTACTCAACTTAACCATTATTTTTAAAAAGATTAACATAATCCCTTGAATATATAACAAGCACTCAATAGATATTAAAATGAGTATGTTTTCCAAGTATAATAGTTATGTCTGTTACAATGAGATCCTGAACAACAAATATAAAGTGACAGCGAATAAATTTAAAGAGAAATAGTAATTAAATGATGTCCCCTTATATGGTAACAATTATTATAAAGCTAACGTGAGGAGCAAACAGCTGACTCAGGGAAAAGGCACTGTATCATGCACACCACATGGGCTGTGCAGAATCTGCAATACTCTTCATTGTTGCCAGCAAAACTCACCCACCATTGCTTCACCATGTGTTACTGTGGATTTGGTTCAGTAGGTTAGGAGTGACTTTTTTATGTCTTTAGGTCATTTGATCTAACACCTAATAACATCCTACAAGGTAATGATACTCTAAGTCACTACAGTATTACATTATAGTGTTAAGAAATAGGGAACTCTGATCATTGAATGTTACACAATAGGTTATCATTCCATTATGCCATATATTTGATAATTTGGTTAGAATTCTGGTAATATTATTAATGCTAGTCATGATTTTCTGAAAATTGCCTTTGGACTGTTAAATAAGTTTATTCAGTACTCAAGATCCTATAGGAAGAGTTAGAGGAATTGATTAAATAATGGTTTTATAGTGTTTATCTGACTTCTGAAGTGTTACAGAAAGTAACTGTTTTAACAAATAGGTTAGAAACATTTCTCCAGAAAAATAGTTTCAGCCAAGCTTTGTTGGTATAAATAATGATTAGTTTTCTTCCTCTAGCCATAAAAAGTCATTTGTCATTGCTGAGGATGGTTGCTCTTGTTCATAGAACTGAGGAATACAATCTTTAAGAATTTATATATGGTTTCATACTTATTTTTCCCAAAAGATGTAGAAAAGGAATTCAGACAAAAAACTTTTTTTCAATCTAGTATTTTAAAATTGTTTTAAATTTTTTATTTTATTCATATGTGCATACAATGTTTGGGTCATTTCTCCCCCTTCAATCTAGTATTTAATAGATACATAGGTGCATAGTATTTTGTTCATTTGGCTTTTCTTCTGGCTTTTTTCAAATACTTGAAGCATGCAATTATAAAGAACTGTAGTTAGTATAAATGGTGGGTGTACAATTGAGGATTTACAATGATATATGATTGAGGTTTATATTTGTAGCCAATTATAGCCAAGAATTTGGAGGTATAAATGAAGGAGATTGAGACTACCATTAACTTTATTATTAATAATTTCATTATGCCATTTAAGGGAGAAATAGAGGAGGGCAACCAAAGATTGTAGGCAAATAAAAAAGAATATTAGGAATGCAACTTTTCAGGTAAGTTAAGAGTGTATTTAGACTTAAAAAGAATTTGTTCTTATGGTTGCATCTCCTTTTATAATAACTTCTTTGAGGCGTATAAACTGTGTTTAGACAATGCAAAGTTTTGGGGTCATCTTGATTTACAGAAAGACTTTTTAACCATTGCAAACCTACAGTGCACCAGGTATGGTCGCAGGCGCTTCATTTCTATTAACTTTATTGGTCCACACATCTACCATCTTGTTTACTTCTTACAAAAACCTTATGAGCTGGTATTAATATCATAGAGCTGGGAGCACTGGGCACAGAGAAGTCAAGTCAGGGTCACCCAGTTAGCAGTAGTCTAGCTTTAATTTGAACCTAGACACTCTGGTACTGAAATCTGCATTGTCAACCATGACCACTGTGCTGTGTTGCAGCAGTTCTTTTTATGTATCTAATATGCTTATTTCAGACCAGTTTATTAAATTGTTACTACTTCTCCTCTCCCCATTCCTTCTCCCACTTTTCTCTCCGCTTCCCTGTTAGCATTTACCAAACTGTTTTGGATCATTTATCTCTTTTAATTACTGCTATAAATTATAAGATCAGGATTCTTTTATTCCAATTCATAGATAAAAATTCTAATTCTTACACATGCTATGTTCAGCCATTTTTAGTCCCAGCAACTTGTGGGTTCTTTTTTTTCTGGGCAGAAGCAGTGCTGGGATGGCGTAAAATAGAGGGAATGCACTTGGAGCAACAGGCGGGGTAGGGTGGGGTGGAGAAATAACTTCAACAGCTAAGCTGTCCTTCAGCACAAGGCACAGAGTTCAATTTCTATGCTAGACACAGTCTGCTAAAAACTGTTTTAGCCTTTAGGGTACACTTGATAATCATTTTGACTTAAGATAGTCTGTATAAAATGTTGTAAAAGGAAAAATGGATTTCTCATTAGAAGGTGCATAAAAATCTT